CTACTTCCCACCTTTTTTGGGGTTTTTCTTTGCCTTTTGCTGAGTCCCCTGTCCCATTCCCAGCTTTCCAAGAACACCAAGGCAGATGCCATGGTCAAGGATCTCTACGTGGAGAACGCGCAGCTGCTGAAGGCCCTGGAGGTGACAGAGCAGAGGCAGAAAAGTGCAGAGAGGAAGAATTATCTGCTGGAAGAGAAAATTGCCAACCTCAACAGAATAGTGAAGAATTTGGCCTCTCCCTCCTTCAGCCCAGAGATCAGGTCATAGCAATGCTGTTGTGTGTCACAGCCCCTGCACTTTACTGAAATGGGAATATTTCAGCTTCTCACGGCGTTGCCTTTTTTTACTGAATGAGTTTTTGGTTACAAATGCCTCCCCAGAGAGCACAGAGCTGATTCCCAAAATGGACACTACCAAAGGAGGATTTTGTTGGTTCCCAAATTGGGTTTCTGCTAAGTTTTGCCTAAAAATAATCATCACTATGTAAAAATCCTCAAATTTATGTTTTTCTAGGTTAACCTATTTTGATGCCTTGGCTTTCATTACAATCCAAATTCTGAATTTCCTGTACTGGATCATCTAGATTGAAGCAAAGGCCTAAAGAAAACTCAGATTGTTGAACTGAAAACTTAATATTTTCAGCTTTCTAAAATAGCTCCAAACCTAGAAATGCTGATGGGTCAGTCTTCAACACTCAGCAAAAATGGAATTGAAGGCAAGACTTTGCTGCTGTGGGCTGTGTCCTGTGAACTGGTTCTGGTTTCTCTAAAGCAATTATTCATTAGGCTTCTGGGTTGTTCTTAATGGCTGTCTCTCTGCAGAGCTCAGAAAAAAAGAGATTTATTTAAAATACAGAACTAGACTACTGCCTCCAACTAAGTGTGACAATATTTCATCTGAAGGAATTTCCCAACTAGCAAATAAAGACTATAATTTCCTTTTTTATTTTTAAGCTGTGCTGCCAGACAACTCTGAATTGTAGAGGCCTTACTGGTTTTGTACATGGAAATAAGTTAAATCAAGGAAGAGTCACTCGGGAGAAGCAGAGCTGGGAGATTTGTTTGTGTGATTTGTAAATTCAGTAAAGCAGTGCAGTGCGTTTATTAAAGAAGAATGGAGAGGGGCACCGGGATGATTTTGTCAGTGGGATCCTGGTGTTGGAACCCTCATGAGCATGGGGCTTTGCCAGGAATGCAGCATTTGCTCTGACCTGAGGAATCATCTGGAAAAGTCTTGTCTTTTGTGATAATCCTAGTGCAGAATCTGTCATTAGTTGTGAAGAAACACATTCGGTGTAATCACGAAGAACTCAGGGAGTAGCAGCCTAAATCAGCTGTAAATGTGGGTGTAAATGTGGGTGTAAATGTGGGTGTAAATGTCAGCAGAGGGAGGAAAACACCCCTGAGGGCAAGCAGCACAAAACAAATTGGATTTGGGTGAGTATTTCCTTGGTGCTCCTTGCCCAGGTTCCAGAGGAGCATCGAGGTTGGGGATGAGTGGAAAAATGAAATTTTTTTGGGGAACACCTTCAGGACAGAGGGGTTTGCCAGAGGAGCAGCTGGATGAGAGCTGCCTGCTCAAGGGGTGTGGGTTATCCTGGCCTGCCTCCCCAGACCAGTCACACACAATTAAACATGGTAAATAAAAATAAACTGGGGCCGTTCTGGAGTACTTGAAACTGGACCTCTTTAAATGCAAGATTGAGAGGGGCAGGAGGAGGTGTTTTCTCTCAGAGACCACTGGCAAGCTGATCATTGTGTCAGGAGCCAAAATTCCTCCAGAAACTGGGGTAAAACTGCTGCAAGCTGTGGAGGAGCAGATGGAAAATGGGATTTACTGATGTGGCTGAGAGGATGTTCCCTGTGTCTCTGGGGGTGTGGGCTGAACTAGAGACAGGAAACACTCTGCTCACTGAAAATGACTTTTTCCTCCTCCTTTTCCTCCTCTATTGCTTTGTGCAGGCAACAAAGTGGAAACAGAAATAGAATCATGGAATAGCATCACATTGGAGTCCTCATAAATTATTTCACTGCTGTGCTCTTCTTATTGCATGTAGTGGAGATTTCTCCAAGTCATCCCAAATTCAACAGTTTATAGATTTTTCAGAGGCTTCAAAAATATTTTCACAAACTGGAAGTGTCTTAAAATGATAGAAATCTGAGGGTTTGAAAAGCTGAAGTAGTGATTTATTGGTGTTTTCATCACCAAGAGGTCTGAGTTACATGTTAATAAATCTCTGTGTGGCTACCAGGGCAAAGTGGAAACTGAGCACACCCTAAACCCACGCTCTGGAAATCAACAAAGTTCCAAAATAATTCCAGGAAACAAAAGAAATACTGTATTTGGAAAAAAAAAAATATTACCTAGTACATTTTAAGACTACTTCATACCTTGACCTTGATTTACTTGTGTCTGTGACCAAAGTCTAAAAAGAAAGAATGAATATTTCACTTAAATCATTGTGCAATTATTTTCATGTTGCTCAATTTAAAGGCTGGACTATTTCACTAATTCTTTTAATCTCCTGGTAGTTACCAGGCTTTAATAACAGACATTGCTGGAGCACAGCACCAAAAAGGGAGAAGCAGAAATAGGGAAAAGGGACTTTTGTTTTTTTTTTTCCCTTTCTCCCCTATCCTACTTTGCTGTACTTTCACTAAACTTCAGAAAAAACCAACTTAACTACGGGAGAGAGGAGGAGGAAAACGTGCTGTTGGTAAAAACTCCGATTTCACAGGAAGATTTGTGTGGATTAATTCCCAGAAGTGCCTTTTGCCGTGCTGTACTGTAGTGGTTGGGGTGCCTCAGGACAATCCCTTCCCACAGGGAGGGATCCCAGAGAAAGGCAGAGCTGCTTCCACACCTTGCTCCTGAGTTCAGTGTGGCAGCTCAGAAGAAAAGCAGCTGTTTTACAGAGCCCAGGCTACTGAAAATAAGCATAGAAACACAATTTATTAAGCATTAGGGGTGTTTTGTGCATGAATGTGTCTCCTATGCAGAATAGGCAAAAAAAACCAAAGTATTTAATGTTATTGTTGCTGTCAGAAATCACTGAACTTTTAGGCCTTGTTCCTACAACAGGTCCTGCCATGTCAGATATGAACTACTTCATTACCAGAAGGTGTTTTAAATGTCTTCAGCTCTTACTTTATGAATCACTGTGAAAATAAAGGCACATAGACATTTCAGGTTGGGGACAGGCCCCAGGTTAAACAGAGGTGTACAAAATTCACGCAGCTCAAGTGCTGCTTGTCAGTTTAGAATGATTGAAAAGTCTTCATTGTGGCACATGCTCCAAGTGGGGCTTTAAATACAAGGAAAAATGGAGCTGTTTGAATTCTGCTTGAGGAAAGAAACAGGATATTAACATTTTTTATTTTAGCCAGGTTATGTTAGGTATAGCAGGGGGGAACAGTCTGGATTGATAAAGAGTAAAATCCTTTTGTTTACTTCCAGCAAGTGCCATCCCTGTCACTCAGGTTTTCCATCATTTACCTGTCCAATCTCTGTTCGGTGTCGTTTCATGACAAACAACTTGTGTATAAAGGAAAACAAATGTATATTTTTTTTTTCTATTGAGTTTGTTTTGTTCTGGTGTAATATATTGTCCTTAGAACATCATGTAAAGCTGAGAGATGAAGCAACTGATACATTATTTATAATGAGCATAAAAAATACATTAATGTACAATGCATACTTGTGTCTTTTGGGTTTTGTCCAACATGAAAAATCAGAATAATTTGTGTTGGGAGGCACCTAAATTCCATCCTGCTGTGGCAGGGACACCTTCCACTGTCCCAGGTTGTTCCAAGCCCTGTCCAACCTGGCCTGGGACACTTCCAGGGATCCAGGGGCAGCCACAGCTGCTCTTCCCATGGATGTTGTAAATATTGCAAGTAGTATCAAAGGTATACACAGTAATTAAAGGGATGGTTTGATGACTATGAAAAAGCTTTTTGCATTATGAAAGTATGAAATTTAAGTGTAAGAACCTGACAGGTTATGAACACACCTTGGCTTATGTTCAGCTGAAGCTGCATCCCTACTCTTTGCCTTTATTCTGAAGTATTGACAGAAATATTGAGTGTTTGTTGCAAGCTTTTGACAAAATCAAGGGGTGGGAAAAGCTGGAGGGGACCACAGTGGGTCCCTGCTCTGTCCTCCCTGGTCTAGCGCTGCTGTGTCCAGCTCTGGGCCCCTCATGACAAGAAACACTGAGGGGCTGGAGCGTGTCCAGGGAAAGGAATGGAGCTGGGGAAGGGAATGGAGCCCC